AAGTGGCATCTCTTTTCTCTCTCCTCTTGTGGTGCTTTGTAAATAGTTTTATGACACAGCTCATAGCATTTGTTTTAAAAATGTTGGCATATTCTCCATTTCCCACTAGGCTGTAAGCTCCTGACAGAAGTGCCGCCATGATCATCTACCCCCAGCCCCCATTCAGAGCCCCACACAGGAGACATTTGGCAAAAGGGAGGGACTTGGGGCTCAATCCTGACATAATGGCTCATTGCCCATAGTTCTCACCAAGCTATTTTCACATCCTGAAACTAAAACACGAGGCACGTTCACACACACACACACACACACACACACACACACACAGACACACACACACAGAGGAATCTCCAGAACTATGTGGCTGATCAGTTCACCAATATCAGCAACATTATCTCTTCCTTCAATGCCAATTTACAGTTTGAGAAGGATTTCCATCCACTATCTGTCTATGCAGAGCCCTGGTGGTGCAGTGGTTAAGAGCTCGGCTGCTAACCAAAAGGCCAGCAGTTCAAATCCACCAGCTGCTCCTTGGAAACTCTATGGGACAATTCTACTCTGTCCTATAGGGTCACTATGAGTCACAATCGACTCAACGGCAATAGGTTTTTTTGGTTTATCTATTTATGCTACCACCCACCTGTCAGTTTGTCATACTGTGGTGGCTTGCATGTTGCTGTGATGCTGGAAGCTATGCCACCGGTATTCCAAATGGACAGGTTTCAGCAGAGCTTCCAGACTAAGATAAACTAGGAAGAAAAGCCTGGCAATCCACTTCCAAAAATCAGCCAGTGAAAACCCTACGGATCACAACAGAATATTTTCTGATATAGTTTCGGAAGATGAACCCCCTAGATTGGAAGACACTCGAAATACACAGTCGCTACAAGAAGGACTCAAGCATACCAGTGGTCGTGAAGAAGGCACAGGACCGGGCCATGTTTACTTCTGTTGTATGTGAAGTCATCTTAAGTTGGAGCCTACCCAATGGCAACTAACAGCAACCATCTATCTGTGAGCATCCAAAGATGCCACATGAGAGGCTGAAAAGGAATGATCGGCCCCATTTTACAGAAGAACGAAAAAAAACAAGTCTCAGGAAGTCGGTGGTGGAAGTGGGCTTGCACTCAGCTGGCCCAGCTGGGCCAGGGAACTTTCTTAGGCCCCACATCTGCCTCTCCATGTGACACTGAGAAGATCCACACCTGGCCTTAGCATTAGACCCGTAGATGTCAGACTGGAGGAAAGTTCAACTGCAGTATTATTACCAAAGACAGCAAATGACAAGTCAAAGCTAAATAAAACCAGCCTGACCATATGCCTATACCACCCAGTAGGTTCCAGTATATGATTTATCAGTGATCGATTCCAGCGCAGAGAAAAGAAGCCAAATCAGTCTGCATGAACCATCTGTCCCAGACATGCAAGCACTGAGACCATTCAGCCAATGGCTCTCTCCTTTTACCTGTTAAGCCCTGTGTGTTCTTCTGTGTCTCCTGCTGATGCTGAATCGAAATCCCCTCTTCTTCCTCCAGAGGGTCCTGGAACTCAGCTAGTGCCCAGACTTGCTGAGGGCCCAGTCCTCTGATCCTGAACCCCCTCTTGCAGGCTCCACTGGGTGTTCCTCCTCCAGATGTCTGCCTTAAACTGCTCAAAATAACTCCAGCATCCTGATAGAGATCAGCCCTGCCAAGGAAAAAACAAGCAGGAGCCTCATACACAGCAGACTCTCAAACTAAACAAATCAGATGCGCTGGGCTGCCGGGCCTTTCCCCCAAAGCTCCACGACCTCTTCAGTGTCACAGACAGCGGTATGCAGAATCTGGCTTACACCAGCTTGTGAGAACAAATTGCATCCATGTATTCCCAACTCCATGTTCAATGGCTTGACATTGGACATGTTGGGAGTATTTACACCATGGAAATTGGCAAAAGCTACAAAACAGGGTCTTTCTACCCCAAGAGCCAGTTGTCAAACGTTTACCAGCACAGCACTGGCACAGACTTTCTTAAGAATATCATGAAAGCTATAAAACTTCTCCCAAGAAAGGTACACATAGACATAGTTTCCCAATGTTTTACATATACTTGCAGGGAACGTGTAGTCCTCTGAAACCCTTTAATGGACTCCAGGTTAAGAACCACCGTCCTCTAGCCATCACATGTCCCTCACAGGGTAAGGAAAAGGCAATGGGCACATGAGCCAGAAACTGGGCCACAGATTTGAAATATTTTATTGCTAAAGCACATTCCATTTTACAGATGAGGACATGGGGACTCGGAGAAGTTATAGCTCTTGTCCAAGCTTACACAAGTATTAAGTGATTGAGCTAAGATTTGAACTGAGGGCTCTGATCTTGCAAGCTTGTTTCTGTTCACTATACCACTTCACCTGTCTGTCAGTTTGTTGTACGATGGTGGCTCATGTGTTGTTACCATGCTGGAAGCCATGTCACTGGTATTTCAAATACCAGCAGGGTCACTCACGGTGGCCAGGTTTCAGCGGAGCTTCCAGACTAACACAGAGTAAGAAGAAAAGCTTGACAGTCTACTTCTGAAAATTAGCCAATGAAAACCTTAGGATCACAAAAGAATGAGCCCCTAGGTTGGAAGGCACTCAATAATAGCTACAACAGTGGACTCATATATGCCAATGATTATGGAGATGGCACAGGACCGGGCAACATTTTGCTTTATTGTGCATGGGGTTGCCATGAGACAGAGCCAACTCTCAGAAATTAGCAACAACACCACACCACTTGGAATGCAGCTTTCTTTGGAAGAAGCAGTAGAAAAGACCACTTGGGGAAGGCAGAATAATAGTCCCCCAAAATGACCAAGTCCTAATCTCCATTGCCTGTGACTACGTTACATTACATGGCAAAAGGGACTTTGCAGATATGATTAACGTTAAGGACCTTGAGATGGAGAGATTATCCTGGATCATGTGGGTAGGCCCAATCTAATTACATGAGTCCTTAGACAAAAGAGGTAGAACAGTGTGCCAGAGAGATGTGACATCCACGGTTGCTGGCTTTGACGTTGGAAGAAGAGGCCATGAGCAGCAGCCTCTAGAAGCTGTGGACAGCCCTCAGTTTACAGCCAGCAAGAAGACCAGCCCAGACTGTACCACAGGGAGCTGAATTGTGCCATAAACCCGAACCAGCAGAAGATGGATTCACCCCTAGAGCTTCTAGAAAGGAACACAGCCTGCCAACATCTGATTTCACACCATGGAGACTTCTGACTTCAGGGCTGTGAGATCCCACATGTGTCGTTTCAAGCCACTAAATTTGCCGTAGGGATAGATAACAAATACAACCATTTTCCAGAAGGGTCTCCTGAGAAACAGGGTGACTGCTTTACCTTGACACACTGAGCAGAGAATGAGCAGGGTCTGGGAGGGAGGAAATCAGCCAGAAACACGGCCAGATCAGCTCCGGCTCCCTGGCTCCTCCAGGATGGCACAGAGGTGGCTGGGGACGAAGCTCAGACCTTCACCAAGCCCAACCCTTGCCGCAAGGCCAAAGGGACAGCTTCTGTCCTCAGATCACCATTAAACAGACAGGGACTTTGGCCAGAAAATAGCCTTGTTGAGCCTAAGTCTCCACTGCTGTATAAGAGAGTAATGATAACTACTCCAGGGCCTTTGGGATAATCAGGAAAAAGGGACTTGTAAACTACCAAGGACATGCATACAAGAGAGAGTGTTTTTATCACCATTGTTCCCACAACTATCTGCCTGGCATCTTTTGTTTTGTGTTCTTTTCCCTTTCTGGATCTTAAATACTGTTACAATTGCATCATTATTGCTTTTTAGTGATCCTCAGGGCAAGTGAACAGGGCACAGGACGTGGGACCTGGCAACCCGGGTGTGAATTCTAACCCTCCCGTGTTTCAGGCATGTCATTTTATATTTCTGAGGCTCAGGTCGTCACCTGGAAATTATGCAGATGATAGCATAAACATCTCTGGCCTGGCCTTTGGCTGGAGATCACGTGTGTCGAAGGCCTGCCCCAGTGCCTGGTACATCAGGGCGCTCAGCAGATGGTAGCCATGCACGTTTCATAGAGGAGGAAACAGGAATGCAGGGAAGTCCAGTAACTTGCCAGAGTCACCCAGCCTGAAGGAGGAGAAGCCAGGACCCAGGTCTGGTTGAGATGAGCCCTCCTGCCTTTCCTTAACATCCTGCTTCCCTGAAACATCAGTTCTGACCCAACATTGCTGTTCAACTTGCTGTGTGTCTCTTGGCAAGTCAGGGAACCTCTCTGTACTTCATTTTTCTCATCTGTGAAATTAGAGGTTGTCTATAACTTCCCTTCCAGCTTTCCACTTGAACACTGTCTCAGATTCACAACGTTCTCTCCCGTGACCCCCATATCCCATGGACCCCCCCAGTGCCAGGTACAGCTCAGTCCATTGAGACCACTTGCCTGGCTTCCAGACCTTACTGCCTATGAGATGTTCAACTTTGTCACTGAACGTGTATTTATTGAATAGCTACTTACGATGTCCCAGGCACTGCGCTAGGGTTGGCTACATGGATAAATGTCAACCTTGAAGAGTTATGAAGGTGAGAATTATACATAAACAAGGTTTGGTGCCATGCCTAACGAGAAAAGGGGCTCAAAATATAGGCTATCTTTATTATTACTTTTTTCAGTGAATGTCGACAAATAAATATTCAAAGAAACTATAAATTTCAAGCTTGGAATGTGGTCAAAAGATCATTGTCTTGGAGAGTTGCTTATGAGGGCTGTTCGATGAGAATTAAGTGTTCAGCTTCAACCAATAGATGGGCCATGGATCTGCACAAAGAGGCCACTGGGCTAAAGGCCACGCTGAATCTCAACTAAACGAAGCACTAAACAGGAATTCTAAACATAACATAAAGAGGGAAATGTCTAAGTTTCGAGAGGAGTATTCACAGCTCATTTGGTTTTCCCCAGTGGTTTAGTATTCCTTTAACTTTTGCTCCTTCTTCCCATCTGTGTTCCCAGCCCGGAATTGCTGGCAGATGTGCAGTACGCCTTTGGACTTCCCTTCTACCCCACCTATGAGGGGCAGTTTACTCGGGAGGAGAAAAGCCTGTCCCTGAAAATCATGCAGTACTTTTCCAACTTCATTCGATCCGGGTGAGTGAACATTGAGTCTGAATTCTGTCATTGTGGTTTCCTTCCTCAGTCTGAACACAGAAACCAGACATCATCGACAGGCTCATCCTTTCCCCTCAGAGGTTGCAACCACCTGTCTTGAGTCGCCCTGTGTCAGTCCCCCCTTCCAGTCAAAACCATCCTTGTGCATGTTCATCTTCAGGAAGAAAAGATCCGATCACATCACTCCCTTGTTGAACCATGTTTGATTATTTCTCAGCCTCGGCATGATTGACATTGGGGCCTGGTAACTCTTTGTTGTGGGGCCGTCCTGTGCATTCTAGGATGTTCAGCAGCATCCCTGGCCTCTACCCACTAGATGTCAGTAGCACCTCCCCTCCCTCTCCCTCAAGTTGTGAAAACCAGAAATGTCTCAGACATTGTCAGATGTCCCCTCGCAGGCACAGTCACACCCAATGGGGAAACCACTGTTCTGGATTATCAAATTAAGTTAAAATGCTCAAAACCAAACCAAATCAGTTTCCACTGAGTCAATCCCAACTCATGGTGATGTCATGTGCATCAGAGTAGAACTGTGCTCCACAGGGTTTTCAGTGGCTGACTTTTCAGAAGTAGATCACCAAGCCTTTCTTCCTAGGTGCCTCTGGGTGGACTTGAACCTCTGACCTTTTGTTCAGTAGCTGAGCGCATTAACCCTTTGCATCCCCCAGGGACTTTGATAAAAGGACACCAGGGTAGAAACAGTGTTCAAAAAGGCAGAGGGCAGTACTAGGCTGTGAGCAATGTTGTTGGATCCTAAGTTCGTGCCTTCCTTTTCTGGAAGTGGCCTAGCAGTGGTGCATTTCAGGAGCCTTTCCCCCTTAATGATTTGTAGTTCAGCAGCTGAGAGCATGGCCCCTGAAGCCAGGTTGAGTGGGTTCCAATCCTTCTGGGATGCTTATGGATAAGTGACCTTGGTCCTCAGACACCAAGTACAAAGAGTAAGTGATCCCAATGAGAAAAGAAAAGACAAATTTGCCTCATGGTCTTTATTCTCATCTTCCAGAAACCCCAACTATCCTCATGAGTTCTCCCGGAGAGCACCTGATTTTGCCACCCCCTGGCCGGACTTCCTCCCCAGTGCCGGTGGGGAGAGCTATAAGGAGTTCAGCTCCCTGCTCCCCAATCGACAGGGACTGAAAAAAGCTGACTGCTCCTTCTGGTCCAAGTACATCCAGTCTCTGAAGGCATCAGCAGGTAGTACAACTAGAGCAGGGGCCACGGTGGAGGGCGGGAGGGGTTGTTGATTCCTCAGCTTTTATGAGCCCTTTGCATCGCACAATGGATGCAAACCCAAGGCCTCTTTCCAGAAGGAGCTCACAGTCTGGGGGACTCTTCTTTGCCCAGGGCCTCCTGTTCTGATTGGAGGGGCAGGAGGGAGGAGAGAGAGAGAGGTACCAGGAGAGGTCATGGGATCAAGGGGACGAGGGTTGAATGGGTAGCCAGCATTAGAGCTTCGAGCCCGGACGGTTGGTGTGGAAAGAGAAGGCGGAGATCTCGAACCTCACCCTCGCAGCCCTTGAGGGGCTGGATGAAAAGTCCTGGGGAAGGATTCTAGCCAGGGGAGAAGTGGGCATTTCCACCCCTTCCTATTGGAGAGAACCTGGCTTTTCTATACACCAAGCAATTGCCGTGGAGTCAACTCCAACTCATGGCGAACCCACGTGTGTCAGAGTAGAACTGTGCTCCATAGGGTTTTCAATGACTGATTTTTCAGAAGCGGTTTGCCAGGCCTTTCTTCCAAGGCACCTTTGGCTGGACTTAAGCCTCCAACTGTTTTGTCAGCAGCAGAGTGCCTTAATGGTTCGTACCCAGGGATGCCTTGGCTTATCTGCAGCAGAGATGCTAAAGAGAAAAATGGGTCACCTGAGGGCACTGGGCATGTGGGGATAAACACAATGGGGCTTCTTCCCTTAAGAAGCTTCCAGCAGAGTGTGGAGTGAGCCACACAGCCCAGTAAATGCTCTTCAGCTTTCCTGGCACCATGATGGAGGTCTGCACCCAAGCCAGTAGTGGCCCAAGGAGGGAGAGGCCACTTCTCCCTGGAGGGACAGGGAAGGCTTCCGGAGGAGGTAATGCTTGGGCTGAGGTTTTCAGAATGACAGGTGTTCTTCAGGTGGAGAGAGATGGGAGTGGAGAGGGAAGTGACCTTGTCTGACTTACATTTTAAAATCTTGACTCTGCCTTTAGTTTCCAAGGCTAGTTGGTTCTCAGTTGATGAACCCAAGTCCCATTGTACCCTTAGCATGTCCCTAAAGCCAGGTGATGAATCTGGTGCCCCCACCCCCAGATAAGCCCTCTGTAGGACGTTGGCAGGGAAAGCCCATCAGAGGTTAGGGTTTCTTTGGGCCAAAGGGAAAGTGACTAGGAAGAGGAACTCATGATCCAGGACTGGACTGTGCTGCCTGTGCTCCTCCTTTTTCAGATGGAGCCAACGACCAGCAGCCAGCCTTGAGAGAAGAGGAAGAATTGCTGGCGGGCTCTGGGCTGAGGGAAGACCTCCTGGACCTCCCAGATCCAGGCTCCAAGACCTACAGCAAGTGACCAGCCTCTGAGAGCTACCCTGCTTACAGGCTGGTCGTCAACTGCCAACCCCACCCCAGACTTAGCTGCCCACCATGAGCACCTTGTTCTCTAAAACAGCCACTAAGTTTCAATAAAGTGTCTGTGTGCAGTAAAGCATTGGTGACTCTGACTTGTTCATTCAAGACAATTCTTGGGAAACACCAAGTCATGTCTTCATGGTGCTAAGGTCTGAATCCCAGGCTGCTGTTTCCTTTCAACAAACATTCATGAGTGTCTCCTGTGTACCAGGCCCTGGGTTGGGTGCTGGGGGAAACGAGGACCCTGCTCTCTAGAATGAGAAAGGCTGGTGAACAGACATTTATAGTAACACAGGAAATGGGGACCCATCAAGGGCCAGCCCCAGAGAGACACAGCCCCACCTGTGTGCTAGAAAGGATTCACTTTTGAAGGTTCCTCCAGAATGGAGGTGAGAAACTAACTTGGGCTGGTGCAATATTCTAGCAAGAGGCGATGAATTTAGACAGGGAGGGTGGAGGTGGGGGAAGGAACAAATCCCAGTGCACTTTAGGAAGTAGAATTGGTGGGACTTGGTTGAATGTGAGAGGGGTTGGGTGCGTGGAGATAGAATTACCCCAGCTTTAGGTTGATTTGTGTTCCCAAATAAGCAACTGATTGTATCACTCACTCTCCTAAGGGACACACTTATGAAGGTAACTCTTCTGCTTAAAACGCTCTCCTATTCTCTCTCTCTCTCTGTCACACACACACACACACACACACACACACACACACACACACTTCAAAGCAGAGGTAGATGACCCAACAAGGAAGGTAAACATGGGCTTACTTGTGCTTACTTTCTGATCTGTAGTAAATAACTTCACATGAACTTTGTGTGGTGAAATTGTTCATAAAGGTTAGTAAGTAAGCACAAGTAAGCACTGTGCTTACCTTGCCTACTGGATAATCCACGCCTGCTTCAAAGTGAAAGTAAAGGCAGGTGGAGCTGTTTAAAAGTCCCTGCCGTTTACATGGCAGCTCATAAGACGGGTTTACACACATCGTCTCGTTTGAGCTCGGCTCAAATTCAGTGATGATTTGTGGGTTGAGGTTATCACCCCCATTTTGCAGACGTGGATGGTGAGATGATGTCCTTAAATTCACACGGGGAGGAGGTGGAGGATCAGACAGTCCACCCCAGGTCTCCTGACTTCTTGGTCTCCTGCATGGACTTCAATAGGCCTGAGGCCACCTTGCATGTCCTCCAGAACCTATTAATAGCAGTGAAAGCCCCGAGTAGCCTCTAACCTGCATTGTATGCTTTATTAGTTGGGATGGTTCGGCGCAAGTAACTGAACACCCAACTAAAGTGTCTTAACCAAAGGACACACCGACAGGTAGGTGATCCCAACATTGGCAGTGGCTCAGCAATATCCTCAAGGATCCAGACTCTTTCCAGCCCTCCTCTTTGCCATCTTCAGTTTCTGGATGACGTCTCACCTCACTGAAACAATATGGTTGCCACAGCTCCAAACATCACATCCCCTCCTGACAGCATCTTGTGCCAGAAGCAAGAGGTCCAGGGGCCATGGGGCCTTCTCCTCCAGTGTGTCATTCTTTTCTTGGAGGAAAATCTTTCCCAGAAGTTCCCAGAAGAATTCCTCCTTACATCTCATTAGCCAGAACTGAGTCGTGGGCCCACTTTTAGACCAATGGAGAATGGGCTTGCCATGATCTGCTTAGACCAGGCATTGCTTATCCCTTTGAGCAGGAGGTATGGCTGAGGTTCAGTTAGCAGAGATGAAGGGGAGATGGTTACTGGATAGACAACTGACAGTCTCTGACACATAATTAACCCTCTCTCTTCCAAGACCATAAAGAGTTGATCCCTAGCCACCCCATCCCTGAAGCCATCCTTGCTCAGCCCAGAGTTGGAGCTGGCCTGAGACATCTCTTTACTCCTTAGTCCAGAGTGGGTTGTGAAGTCATGTGCTGCGTTTGGCCATCAAAGGTCATGGTTCATCAGGGTCATCCTGAAATCCTTAATACAGGCTGAGGTACCCTGGGCTGGGGGGGGTCTCAGACAGAGGGCAGGAAAAATGGTGCCAGGAGCAGTGCTCTGGTTTCCTATCATCGTAAGCACCTGTACCCGGCTCTCCTGAGGTATCCAGAGGTGGAGGGTGGATGGGACCCAAGACCTGAGGGTTGGGGGCTGGGCTGGCCCCAACCACGATTGCACTGAGATCTCCCTGCGCTCTGACTGTCTGAGGGGAGGAGAGAAAGCGGCCGCTGTGGGCTTTGGTCTGAGGCCTCGCTGTCCAGAGGCCCTTCTGGTGTAGCTCCCTCCAGCCTGGCCTGGAGTAACAGTAGAGCCACTGACCAAGATCTCCTGCCCTACTCCAGTGTGATGGTTAAATTGTGTCAACTTGGCTAGGTCACGACTCTCAGTGGTTTGGCAGTTATGTAATGATATAGTTATCTTCCATTTTGTGATATAATGTGAGCACCTCCATGAAGTGATCTGATGTGATCAGCCAATCAGTTGTAAGGGGAGTTTCCTTGGGGGTGTGGCCTGCATCCAATATATATCAACATTCTGGAAAAGCTTGCTGGCTTTTGCTTGCTCTGGGTTCGGCATCCAGCTCATCATCACCTGACCTCTGGTTCTTGGGACTTGAGCCAACAGCCTGCCGTATTGCCTGTCGATCTTGGGATTCGTTAGCCCCACAGCTACATGAGTCCAGAGAAATCTCCAACCTGACACCTGATTCACAGACTTGGGACTTGCCAGCCTCTACAATTGCATTAGCAATTTCCTTGGGATAAATCTCTCTATATATATACATATATATATATATATGTATATATATATGCTTCGCTAGTTTTGGTTCTCTAGAGAACCCAGCCTAAGACACCCAGGTTCTGACCTATGAGTGCTGCTCATTTTTCTCCCCCAAATGAAATCCTGGGCTCAGAATTCTACCACTGAAGCTTTGTTCCTTGATTTCCACTGCTGTCTCCAGTCAGAGTGAAGATTCCCAGAGGGGGTTTCTCCTCCACCAAAACCTCAGTGGGGGCTTTGAAACAAGATCAGCCTGGGTGCAGTATCAGGGTTAATGTGCTTGGCTGCTAACTGAAAAACTGGAGGTTTGAGTCCACCCAGCGGTGCCTTGGAAGAAAGGCCTGGTGAGTTACTTCTGAAAAATTAGCCATTGAAAACCCTGTGGAGCACAGTTCTACTCTGATGCACGGGGGTCACCGCGAGTCAGAGTCGACTCAACGGCAACTGGTTGGTTTGAGTGCAGTACATGCTCTGTCGTTTATTAGCAGCAGCTGAATGGGGCAGGGCAGTCCACTTAACCCTGTGGTTCCCAGCCTCCGCCATTTGTTAGAATCACCTCAGAGCTTTTACAATATGCACAGGCCCAGGCCACACCCCAGAATCCTCTGGCATGGGGTTCAGGCCTCAGAGGATTACAGTACCCAGTCAAGAATGGACACCACTCTTAACCTCTCTAATCTTCAGTTTCCTCACCTGGAAAGTTCAGTTTACTGGGTGAACAGCACTTAGGAAGGTGTCAGGTAGGAGCAATTGTTTTTTCCTACCATTCCGCATTTGTGGTCAGCAGAACGGTGTTCTCTCAAAAAATGTCTCCGTCCTAATGCCCCAAATGTGCGAATATGTCAGTCACATACCAAGGGGGCATCAAGGCTTCAGATGGAGCGCAGGCTGCTAATCAGGGGACCTTAAATGAAGGAGTGTAGCCTGTGTGACCCAGGAGGGCCCCATGTAATCGCAGGGGTTCTCATAAGTGGAAGAGGGAGGCAGAAGGGAGAGAGCCGAGAGGTGGCAACGTGAGCAGGACTTGGCCCGACACTGCTGGATTTTAAGATGGAGGAAGGGGCCACAAGCCAAGAAAAGTGGGTGGCCTCTAGAAACCAGAAAAAGCAAGAAAGGGAATTTTCCCCTAGAGCCTCCAGAAGAAATGCGGGCCTGCTAACACGTTGATCTCAGCCCCGTGAGGCCTTCTGATGTCCAGACGTGTAAGAGAATCAACGCGTGTCGTCTTAAGCCACTACGCTTGGTGCATGTTGTCACAGCACTCATAGGAAACTAGCGCATCTTATACCTGTTCAGAGGGGCATTTATCCTGCCCTTGGACCAAACCTCAGGCATAGCTTATCCTTCTCCTGACTATAGAAAGCCCCCTGTGTACAATATTAGAACTCTCCAATCCCATGTGGCTGGACTTGTTCCTAAGCCCAGAGACTCAGGCCAGCAGCCTGCAGTGGGGAGGGCAGAGGGGGCTTCTTCTCCATTCTGTCTTCTTCAGCCCATCCTCCCTGGCCCTCCCGGTCCCCCGTCACTAGCTGCTGAGACTGTGGTGGGGGCAGGCTCACTGTGGGGGGAGGGTTAGGAGCAGGAACGGGCCGATCTCAGTGGTCCAGTTGTAACCTGCGTTGATGCTCTCTGATTATGGTGGGTGTCCCAACTATCTGACGAGGTGCGTTAGTGGGTTCTTCCAGAATCCTCCTGCCAGTGAAGGGTGGAGGTCACCCACCCACAGTTCTCTTGACACAGGAGATACCACTTCTGGCTGGCTGATTCCAGCTTCTCCCTAAACCTCCAACTTTGGGCAGTTTACCCCTTCTGCTGCGGTCACCTCACCTCTCAAGTAATTTTCTTAAGATAACCCAGAGCCATCTTCGTCATTTAAAAAAATCTGGTCCACAGAAAATACACGTCTCCACTTCCCCCCCTGCCAAGTCCTTAGAAGTCCAGGCTGTTCCCAGTGCAGCTGGCAGGGGCCTCTCTGGGCTCAGCCGCTGTAGGGTTTCTAGGCACGAACCAGGTGTCACTCACTCACTCACTAGGTTCCTTCTATTGCAGGGGACACTGGTCAGCTCACTGAAGTTTCCTGGCATTCCTCATCTCTTGGGTCAGTGGGAAGGAGAAGCTCTTGTCTCCCACCCCCATGTGATAAAGGGGCAAATTCTCCCGGCACTAAGCCTGCTCTCTCTAACCAGTTAACCAATTGCTGTTGAGTCATCTCAGACTCATGGCATCCTCATGTGTGCCAGAGGA